GATTCCACTTCACTTATCTGGGGAGTCTCGTCGGTGCCGAAGGTCTGATGACTGACGAAATATCAGCACGGATACAGAAGGCTCGATTGGTTTTTGCCAACCTGCGTCACTTATGCCGTAGGCAAGATATCCGTTTACTGACTAAAGGACGAGTGTACTGTGCAGTGGTTCGCTCCGTCTTACTTTATGGCTGTGAAACATGGCCAGTTAGAGTAGAAGATATTCGTAGGTTACTGGTTTTCGATCATAGGTGTCTTCGAAGCATTGCTCGTATATCGTGGGACAACCGAGTGACCAACGCTGTTGTTAGAAAACGGGTGATAGGTGAGAATGGCAGATCAATAGATGAAGTAATGAAACTTCATCAGTTGAGGTGGTTGGGACATGTGCTGCGTATGCCTAACCACCGACTGCCTCAATTCGAGCTTTGTTTTGTGGTGTAGGAATAGGTTGGAAGAAAGTTAGGAGCGGCCAAACCAAAACATGGAAGAAATCCATGAAGTCATTGACTAGTGGACTGAGTCATGTCGGTAGTTGTCGACTAACTGGTTGGGGTCCGCGAGATGATAATAATCGATGGTTAGATACCTTGACTAACACGGCTCAAAATCGTTCGCTATGGCGCCGGTGCATTTATTCTTTGTGTGCTCTCAAATCCTAATCTTCTGGATTCTTCAACCCCTCTAGTTTTGACTTTCTAAACTCATCTCACTGAATCATACTTCTTGAATAATATCTTCTAATCCTAACCTCTCCGATTACTTCTAATACCTTTACTACCTCTTCTACCATTGGATTTAAATTGACAATTATATCTCTGTGTTGATGTGGTATGACAACATTTCCAAACCAATAGTGGTAGAGATAGTAGAAGTATTAGCGGTTATGAAGATTACGGTTTGAAAATATTATTCAAGAAATATAATTCAGTGAGATAAATTTAGGAAGAGAAAGATAGACGTGATAAGGAATTCTGGAGATCAAAGGACAACTGTTTGAGTCCGGTGACGCACGGCCTTTTTATAAGAAATTGTTAAAGTGTTAGCTCGGCTCTAGTTTAAAACGCCTTACCGCCAGAGACGGAAATTCGTAAGGTAAGGTGTGACAATTCTAGGGTAGACCTTTTCTAACCCTAACCGTCCTTGTGAGAAGGCAGCATCGCTGCACATGCTGGTTTCCCGAAGGAAACACCTCACTTCTGTCACCTCCCTACAGCCAACAGTACGAATCCGCCGTCAGACCTTGAGTAGCTGCTTTTAGTCTCATCGTTCTCCAATCGACCTGTCTGACATGGTAGAACCTTCAGGAACATATGTTCCAGCCAATATAGCTCGGTTGGGTCATCACGAAAAAATAAGATAACGCTACAATGTAGATGATAGCTTTATTGAATAAAAACAGCATTAGATTCTATGAGAAGATTGGAATAAAAAGGTTTTTGAATTACCTGAACTAGAACACGTCGACAAAGACCAGCTTTAACAAGGGATTTAGCTACCCAACGTGCTGCATACGCTGCGGATCGATCAACTTTAGAATAATCTTTCCCAGAAAATGCTCCACCACCATGTGCACCCCAACCTCCATATGTATCTACAATGATTTTTCTACCTGCAAAAATAAAACAAAATAGTCAAGTAAACCAAATGAAGAAAAATCTACACTTGTTTTAGACCAACTATTATCAATTCTATAACATTGAATATCATGCAGATAGAATATAAAAACACAAGAATTACGTAACAATCACACATCAGTGTTAATTCAATCATAAACAATGTAGACAGAGATACTATATAACCTAACTCAGGTCTCTCTTATGGGAAAATCATATAACCTGACATGAGACAAAGAGTAATAAGAGTGTTTGAGTTCATTTGCATGAAGCTGGGCTACATCTCTTGCTATCATCCTATGCGTATACAATATGTTATGCTGCTTACTATGTAGAGAGCTGAAGTTGTTTTCCTATCAGACTAAAGGTTCGCTGTGAACACTGTGGATGACTTGCTTGGGATTGCTTTGGAAAGTATTGCTAACAGTTCATATACAAATATAGTTAGCAGGGTGACCTATTTTATTGATATTGGTGGTTTTTTGCAACATTTCCGAGAATCGTTGCCATTAGGATGCTGTATTGCACATGTCACCATTCAGTCAGTCAGTTAGATGCAACGTAGAACTTCGTACGTAAGTACATCAGTTCATGTTGCCATACCACATTATTAGCACAAAGATGTAATTGTCAATTCAAATCCAACAGTAGAAGAGGTTAGGATTAGAAGATATTATTCAAGAAGTATGATTCAGTGGGAAAAGTTTAGAAAGTCAAAACTAGAGGGGTTGAAGAATCCGGAAGATTAGAATTTGACAGAGCTCAAAGAATGGATGCACTTGCACCATGGCAAACGATTTTGAGCCATGTCATTCAAGGTCTCGAACCATCGATTACTAACATCTCGCAGACCCCAACCAGGTAGTGGACAACTACCGACATGGCTAAGTCCACTCGTCAATGACTTCATGGATTTCTGCCATAATTTGGTTTGGCCGCCCCTAGCTTTCTTCCAACCTACTCCTGCACCACAAAACATAGCTCGTCAAGGCAGCCGGTGGTTAGGCATAGGTAACACATGTCCCAACCACCTCAACTGATGAAGTTTCAATACTTCATCTATTGATCTACCATCCTTAACTAGTACTCGTTTCCTAACGACAAGATTGCTTACTCGGTTGTCCCACGGTATACGAGCAATGCTTCGAAGACATCTATGATCGAAAACCAGTAACCTACGAATATCTTCTACTCTCACTCGCCATGTTTCACAGCCATATAGGAGAACGGAGAGAACTGCTGCACATGTCACCATTACAAGTAATAATAATGAGTTTGATAGGTCATGGGTCGAATTGGCCTGTTGTTCATGTGGCGGATATTGACCGTGACACGATCATGGATCGGAAATAATCAATATATACGTCATCATCATAATCAACAGCAACGTAGAACTTTGCACGCAAGTACAACAGTCTAAGTTGCCATAAAACGTTATAGTCAAAAAACGTTAAAACCGTACCATTAAGGAGGCAGCGAGTGACATGTAAAAGTGACATATATTTCAGCCAGTCAGTAAGTTGCAACGTAGAACTTCGTATGTATGTACATAAGTTCATGTTGCCATACCACATTAGCACAGAGACGCAAATGTCAAATCAAATCCCATAGTGATAAAGATAGTAGAGGTATTAATGGTAATGAAGAAGACTAGGATTTGAAGATATTATTCAAGGAGTATAATTCATCGAGATAAGGTTAGAAAGACAAAGGTAGAAGTGCTGACGAATTCAGAAGATTAGGATTTGAGAGAGCTGAAAGAATGGATGCACTTGTGCCATTGCAAACGATTTTGAGCCATGTCGTTCAAGGTCTCTAACCATCGGTGACTTTCGTCTCGCGGACCCCAACCAGGTAGTCTACATCTACCAACATGACTCAGTCTACTGGTCAGTGGACATATATTTACATTTAGTTGACCATTGTTTGTTCTACAAAACGGCTAATAATGTGTGAACAGAAGGAAGAATTGTATTACAGAGAGTATGTAAACAATACAAACTCATACAAAGTTCATGGTTAGACAATATTTCATAATGTGATTTTGGTCTCGTGTGCTGTTACGGGTATGAGGGCGGTTGTCACTTCCCGGATGCCCACACCACGGAAGGTTGTTTCTTGAGGGACCTGAAAAGGAAGATAGATTAGTGTCGGTCGTGGAGACCTGGCAGTGTGACCGCAGAGTCCAAGGGACAACTGCTTGGGGCCGGTCACGCACGGCCTTTTTATGAAAGGTTTTTGAGTGTTAGCTCCGCTCTTAAAGGCCCTTAGTGGGCACCCTTACCGACGGAGACGGAAATCCGTGAAGTAGAGTGAGCTGTGACATTTTTAGGGTCGACCTTTTCTAAACCTTCCTTCCTTGTGAGAAGGCAGCATCGCTGCAGATGCTGGTGGTCCGAGGGAAACACCTTACTGATGTAAGACCTCACTGCAGTCAGCAGTACGACTTCGCCCTCAGACCTTAGGTAGCTGCTTTTAGTGTGATCGTTCTCCGATCGACCTGTCTGGCATGGTAGAACCTTCAGGAACATATGTTCCGTCCAGTGTAACTCGGTTGGGTCATTACGATAGTCAAGCCCGACCGCCACGTCAAGGTGCCAGCTACGGTCGGGATGTGATTTTGGTCGACATAGATGATCAGAGTCACATGGAAATTAAACAAAATATTATTATTTGAATTGGTTGTTTGATAGTTTGAGTTTTAGCGGCTCACGACTGGACTCCATGCGGGCAGACAGAGTCCTAACGACAAGTACAACAAGTTAACAGACATTATTCGAAGGGAATGTGTTTGAAAAGCACTAAAAAATTCAAGTATACTTAACCACTTTATTACGCAATGTAAAAGTGCATATTCATTGGAGTTACAAAAACAGGCGATGGCCTATATTATCAAACTATTAAACCAATAGTGATTTAACTGAAACGTTCTAAGTTCAAATTGAAAATAATAGACTTTAAACGAATATGAAACTTATATCAGTCGGTAATTACAAATTTTTGAGAAATATGATTAAAGTATTTTAACATGGTATAAATCAGTCAGTCAGTTTCAACATAGAACTTCGTATGTACGTATATCATTTGAAGTCGCCAAACCACATTAGTACAGGGACGCAATAACTAGTTCAAACCACATAGTGGTACAGATAGTAGGAGTATTAGCGGTAATCGAGAAGATTAGGGTTCGAAGATATTATTCATGAACTATAATTCAGTCAGAAAGACAGACGTGGATTAAGAAGATTAGAATTTGCAAACGATCTCGAGCCCTCTCCTTCAAAGTCTCTAACCATCGGTTACTACCATCTAGCTGACCTCAACCAGATACTCTACATCTACTAACATGACTTAATCCATTTGTCAGTGATTTCATGGATTTCTGCCATGTTTTGGTTTGATCACCTCTAGCTTTCCTCCAACCATCGCAAAACATCACTCATCGAAGTAATCGTTGGTTAGACAGACGCAACACATGTCCCAACCACCTCAACTGATGAAGTTTCATTACTTCATCTATTGATCTTCCATCCCTACCTAGTACTCGCTTCCTAATGACAGCATTGATTACTCGGTTGGATAAACTGTCTTTCAAAAAAAAAACCACCACTTACCAGTTAAACCAGCATCACTCTGAGGACCACCAATTACAAATCGTCCAGCTGGATTTAAATGATATTTCGTTTTTTCATCTAAAAGATTTGCAGGAATCTCTTCTTTAATAACATATTCCATTAAATCAGCTCGAACTTTTTCCAATGTGACACAATCATCATGTTGAGTAGAAATAACCACTGTATGCACTCGTAAAGGTCGACAAGCTCCATGATCATTTAAATACTCTACAGTCACCTAGTGTAAACACAAAAATAACGCATGAAAAAAAAAACAGCAATTCGAAGATGATGAGCATTCTGAAAACATGACAGCATTAATGATGCATTTAACTAAAGCTAGTCAGTTACAACATGGAACTTTGTATGTACGTACGTACATCAATTCAAGTTGCTACACCAAATTAGCATAGAGAGATGGAATAATCAATTCAAATCCTATAACAGAAGAAGTTATAGCAGTATTAGCGATAATCAAGATTTACCATCCCTACCTAGTACTCGTTTCCTAACTATAGCATTGCGTACTCAGTTGTTCCAGGATACACAATCAATGTTTTGACATCTATAATGGAATACTAATAACCTGAGAATATCCTCAACTATGAATGTGTTGTAACGCTTGCTTAGATAATTCCCAGCTAAATCCTATTGCTTAGTATTCTCTGACCACAATACACTGGACAAGTTCCCAAGAATCAAAACACGGTTGAACAGGGGAAGATTATATTCCAAATCCAAAAGGATAAATGGAAAAAAGAAGCCAAAGGTGAAGTCGAAGGCAAAGAAGGCCAAAAATAGATACAACGTTAGTTTATTTATAGCATTTACGTGAGAAAGCTTCTGGATAGAAAGTCACGTGATCGAATGGATTAGATTTAACCAATCGGCGCGCAGCTAACAGTACGAGAATCTTCTACCCTGTTCTCCAAAATTCTATCAGGCGCTGATTGGATGATAGGAAATTAGCCAATCAGAGCACAGCAACACAGTCATGCTTTAATTCCATCAATGTCACACTAACAGAATGGTTGTTTCGCATTCATACAGTAGAACGCAACGAACTGCTGAGCAGTAGATTTAACTAAAGAGTGAATGCATTTGTTCTATTGGAAACAATAATAAACCATATCACCCAGACTCCAATCAATGATTGGAAATTCCCGTACAGACATCAACCAAGTTGTCTTTTTAGTATGATCCACAGACTATGAGAGCTTGATATATCTGTTTAGAAGCGTAGTTTCCGAACTTGCGGCAGGTTAGCTATTGGGAAAAACAAGCATACGAACGCTTGCCACAGTTACAAAACACTTTTTTTACACACTTTTTTACACACATGATACATATCTAGACATACAAAAACTATGAAGTTATGGATTGAATTTTTGATTTCGTCACATACTGATGATTAAACTTACTTGAGTTTTTGAATCAGGACCAGCCCATGGAAGCACTCCATTACGTCTACATGTGGCTAGGCGCTTATTTAAAGCATGTGATAGTGTAACTGTTAAAGGCATACATTCTTCAGTTTCATCAGTTGCATAACCGAACATTAAACCCTATTAAAAATAATAGATAAGATATAATTACAAGGCATAGTAAAATTCCTGAACTTTGAAAAGTTATAACCATATCAGTCAGTCAGTCAGTTGCAACGTAGAACTAGGTACGTATGTATATAAGTTCATGTTGCCATACCACATGAGCACACAGAGACGCAAATGTCAAATCAAATCCCATAGTGATGAAGATAGTAGAGGTAATAATGGTAATGAAGAAGACTAGTAGGGTTTGAAGATATTATTCAAGAAGTATAATTCAATACCGGTTTCTTTGATAAGGCGGAAAAGTTCTCTAGTGTTGCCTATCGCCGCTGCCTTTTCCATCGCTTTTGCTTTCGCCACCCACCGCTGTTCACGGTCGTTATGTAGGCTTTTTATAAGTCTGCGCCTAAGCTGACTACGCTCTTCATCATGTTCAGAGTCAGGTGGGATGCGTTTTCGAGCATCCATCAGTTCGGTGGATGTGACTGAAATCCACGGCTTTATCCTAGCCTTATGGTTTACCTTGCTAGCAGATATCACTGCTGTTTCCACAGCCTTCTTGATATTATTCCAACCTGACTCCGGATGGGAATCACTTGCATGGTCGCCTAACTGTTTTTCTAGTTCCTCCTGAAATATTTTCTTAGCTTGACTATCATCAAGTAAATCCCTAAGAGGCTTCCATACGGTGTCTTTCCTACGTTCAGTAAGCCTCAAACAAACAAACCTGACCGGAGCTGCTACCTTGAAGAGGTGGTCGGGCTTGCCCATCGTGATGACCCAACCGAGCTATATTGGCTGGAACACATATGTTCCTGAAGGTTCTACCATGCCAGGCAGGTCGACTGGAGAACGATGAGACTAAAAGCAGCTAACCAAGGTCTGAGGGCGAAGTCGTACTGCTGACTGACTGCAGCCAGTCAGTCAGATGCAACATAGAACTTTTTACATAAGTACATCAGTTCCCCCTTATGGAGATTAGGGGTCAAAAATATGATTCAAAAGGTATATCACTGTTAAAATAAATTTAGATTCTTAGTGTCCATAAAATAGGATGGAACGAGCTCCTGTGAACTCGTCCATTGGTTAGCAGGCGGACATATTCTCTGTGCAATGAGCGATCCTAATTGGCAAAGCCAGTCGAGCTTCCAGTTTCCGTGCTGAGAATAAATCGGAGGATCGCATCCTAAACATGCTTGCATTGTTGCTTGAGGTGGTTAGAAGACTGCAGTTTGTCACTGTCTTAGTCAGACACAACTATATTACCCGTATATTCCAAGTGCAGAAATGAATCTCCTGGCATGTCAACTCTTGAAACAAAACAACGAAAATGTTAATTATAAAAGCATGACGATGACAAAGTTACGTAGAAACGAGGAAAGCGAACAACTCTGACAAACACTATTCGAGGTCATCAATTTCAATGACGCTCTTCAAAAAGCCTTACCTTTGGCGACGGAAACCCCTGGGATAAGTGATACCTAAGTGGTCGAGTCTTCACATTCTTCTCCCATTGTGAGGGAGAATTGATGCAGATGCTGATTGTACGAAGGAAACACTACACTGCTGTCACATCCATTTACTGTCAGTAACACGACTTCACCCTCAGAATTCAAGTTGCTGCTTTTAGTCTTACTGTTATCCGATCAACTTTACTAGCATGACATCACCTGAAGGAACAGGTGTCCCAGACAGCATGGGCCGGTTGAATCATCAAGATAGGCAAGCCCGGCCATGTCAAGGTAGCTGTCACTGTCGCGAGGTTAAAAGCACTGAAAATTGCAGTTTTCTTACTACATTCTGTTGGTAAAGTATGAATATTAGTCACACATGAAACAATGTTCAGAATAACTGATTTAGCTAGTATTTAAAGCCTTTTATTGGTACTTGGTATTAAAAACCAGGTAGAATAATGTTTATGAAGTATTTTTAATGTTAGCATACTGATAACTTAGGCTAGATTGACAATACAGGTCATTTAGGCACTCACATTACCAATAAACATTCCGAAAAATCGCATAAATCAGATTCTTGAGTCTTGTGATGCGCCATAAAGTTAGAATAAGGTCATTAGTGATGTACACTACTAGAGAAACCTAGACTGTTTTTAACGAATGAACTACTGATTGAAGATAAATATAATTATTATCTAGTAAGGTCCACAACATAAACAGAACGCAAAAGCATATTAAATTTTGCCAAGATTACCTGGTCTCCTGCGCCAATATCTTCAATCCTTCTTCCTTCATGTACACCCTTTGCAATATCTGCACTTTGCTGCTCAATTACTGTTAAGACGTTGCAAGTTTTATAATCTAAGCCCTTCTGAGTATCATCGTAGCCAATTTGTTTTACAACATTACGCACAGTCTTCTGTATGTCAACCACAGCGTTCGATGAGATCTCACCCCCAACAAGAATGAGACCGCTTTTAACAAAAGATTCTAAATGTACAATTTAGTAAATGAAAAAGGTATACCGCAGGCTACTTTGGCCTCGGGATCCTGACGCAGGAACTCATCTAGTATGGCATCACTAATCTGATCACACAATTTGTCTAAAACCTAAATATATGATGTACAGTGGAACAAACCTGGATGTCCTTCACCTACAGACTCAGAGGTGAACAAAAATGTTTCCGCTTCGCAATCTCCGCCGTTTGTAAATGAAGGCATTTTGAAGCACACCAACAACACGGCTAGAGATTTGAAATTTCACCAACCGAACAGAAGCCGGATTAACCACGTTAGTAAAACTAAACAATTGCTGAAATGTACAATTTCGAAAGCTTTTGAGTTTTTCCTTTTCAAAAATACAGATTCGTACTACATTAAGCAGTCTGAAGTGTAAACGTTAGTGGGATGTTCGAAATTCTGGTAGCAAATTATTCGTCTATCCAACATCCATTATAATAGTGAACAGCTACTATCCAACATCAAATATCTTTTTCACGAGCTAGTGTAAACCAATTTGATTTCTTTGCGCTCGATTCTTGTTCTTTCGGTACGGTTCCAGGTGTTCGGTAATGTCCAATGGATGGAAGTCTAGCCACTCGACTGTCTAATTCTAGTCAGTTGGCAGTTGGTTGTGAGTTTGTATGTCTCGGGATTTGAATGAAACGTTTGTTTCAGGGCAGTAGGGTTTCTGGATACTAGCAGCCGTCACTTTACCAAACCGGAGATCAGTTAGTTGCAATGTGGAGAGTAATAAGGATAATAAGGGTAAATTAAAATGATAATATGAGTAAAATTTCAGAACTGAGTAATATATAGATGAATTTAGTTTGTTGATTAGTAGTGAAGATTTTGATAGAGGACCGTAGTGTAAGCAAGGGAGAGGAAACAGAGGTAATGAGTGAGATAGATCAAGTTAATGATCTGAGGAGATGGCAATGATAACAACTAGCAGGTCTCAAGATATGCATCATGAACAGCTTGTCCAAGAGGGAGATGATAATCCATATGTGAGTACGTGATTATCAAGTCTCTTCTTAAAGCTGTCTACTGAGGGGGCTGTGGTCACCTCGGCTGAGAGAGCATTCCAAGTTGCGACGACTCGAAATGCGAAAAAGTGCGCACAAATCTGAGTATTCGCTCTTTGATGTGCAATCTTTCGAGGATTGCCTCGAAGGGAGTGATGGTGACTCATCGGTAAGATGCTCACGTTGGGATGGTTTGGCATGTTTAATATGGTGTACGCCATAATCAGATCACCTCTAATCTTCTTATAGCTCAATGGAAATAATCCCAAGGGCTGGAGTCTATCGTCGTAAGGCTTATTTTTCAACACTGTCAACCATTTGTTGGCTCGTCTCTGCAATCGGTCCAAGAGATTTATGTCTCTTTTAAGCAGAAGGGGTGCGATGACATTGTGAACCTCCGGGTGTAGGCGCGCGCACATCTGAAATAGGGTCAAAAATAATTGCGGGGTGGTAGCACCAAGTTGTCTTTGTGTGTGTTGTCTGCGTCCCCTACACAGTTAGGACTCATGTAGATGCTTTCTGTGGTTCTTAAACCGAGATCGCGCTCTGAGGAGACATTAGGGTATAGATCGTTTGCGTTGTGTGAGGCAGACTATGCATGACGAGGCATTTCGGCTGGTTGAGTTCTAAACCGTTTTTCACTGCTCATTTCTCAATAGATGTAATGTCCTTCTGAATCTCAGTCGAATCCTCTTCGCTTCTAATGGACCTCAAGATCTTGGCATCGTCTGCGTAGATCAATGCCGATGAGCTAACGAAGCCTAACAGGTCGGTGAAGCCCATTTCCACAACCTTTACGATTAGGCGTACGTGGGGTACTGTGTCAAAGGCTTTTGCATAGTAGAGAAATGTAACGTGCACTGGTATTTTACGGTCCAAACAGAATGTCCAACTGCCCATGCGATGAGAAGATTAGATGCACACGACCTATATTTCCGAAACCCGTGTTGAGCTTCATGGAGTATTTTATTCTTATCCATGTACTCCCTCATTTGTTCTTCCACCAGTCCTTCCATAACTTTTGATAATATTGGTAGTAATGCGACTGGTCTGTAACGGGCTGGGTCCTTTCTATCTCCTCCTTTGAAGATTGGAGAGAGAGTAGCTTGTTTCCATTCAGCTGGAAATCGGGGTGACTCCAGTGAATGCCTGAACAGGTCACATATCGGTGAACAGAGGACCTCTGCACATTGTCTCAAGACTATGTGGCGAATTTTGTCACAACCTGGTGACTTACCTGGGCGTAAGTATTTTGGTTTCCTTAATACTAGGTCAGGAGTGATACTGATGTTTCCTAAGCCGTCAGCTGGCATTGAGTTGGCGTAGTACTCTAAAAATGTGGGCGCCTGGTTTAACTGATCAGAAAAGTTAGTGCTGAAGATCTCAGCCATCTCTAGGTTGGTGAGGTCTTCCCCGTTTCTTCCTATTATAGAACACAACCCTTGACTAGTAGGTTTTCTTTTGAACATAAACCTAAACAGATGTTTCGGCTTTGACTCTGTTTTGGCGGCTAGCTTCATCTGAAATTGTCTCCTGTCGCTTCGAACTTTGGTTTCTCAATACCAAGTAAGAACTGTGATCGGAATCTTTCAAGGAGACCTTCCACTTGTGCCAGGCTCTCCTCTTCGCCTGTAGCAAGCGTTCAGTGCCGCGCCTAACACAGGGTCTTCTAGTCCCGCGTGTGTGGTGCGACTGAGGTACATTGTCTACGACAGCGTTTTGGATGATATCTCTCACTGTTTGCCAGTGATCATCTACTGTCAGCCTCCACCACTCCCGTGGCCATGGGACATGTAGGAGGACCTCTCTAATGCGTGTATAATTCGCCTTATTGTAGCAAAGATAGAGCTCGTTTTTGTCCTGTGTGAGTGTTTCGTTTATCACCATGTTACACAAGACTGTGCCATGGTCACTACTTCCTAATGGTGCGCGGACTTGAACATCCTCAACCAGGAGCTGGTCATTAGTTAACAGATAATCCAGGTTTGAGGACTTCCCTTCCTTAGTCCACCTAGTGGCACTGCGTACGTGCTCAGTCAGCCCAGAGCTTCTAATGGCTGTACCAAGTTGTCTTTGGAACCAACTTGTGGGAGTTATACTCTGATTGGTGAAATTTAGAGATGGGGTATTGAAATGTCCAGCTAAGAGTATTTGTACAAACCACAGTAGTGGCAGTTACAGTATTACCTGAATCAGTTTGCCTTTCTGGGCCTTAGTACCCGAAGGAGGTCGGTAAATCCCTCCAATCAAGTATTTCGTGCCATTTGTGTGGAAACAACACCAACATGATTCTGTCACCTCAGTTAGTTGAGTGTCATATAGCCGCTCTGCTTTTAAGTGGCTATTTATATATATAGCCACTCCACCTCCAGTTTGGTGTTCCCTATCGCTTCGGAAGAGTTTCATGCCTGGCAAGCTCACTTCTGCGTCTGCAATGTCAGGGGACAGCCATGTTTCAGTTAGGATTATGATCTTCAGATCCATCTGATAGCACATATTCCTGATTTCTAACAGCTTACCCCTTAGTCCTCTTACGTTGCTACAGAAGCACTTGGTGGTTTGTCTCAGCACCTGGTGCACTTCTGCAGCAGCAGTCGCTGTCGGATTTTTAGACAAGCTGTTCAAACCGAATTGGCCAGTGCTCTGGTTCAGTCGTGTCTTGTGCCAAGGGTAGTTGACCGAGTTTAACTATCAGTTTCGCGCGTTCATTCTGGACTTGATGCTGTTGTCTCACAGATCTAGGTCGGCTTTCGCAACACCTGATATAGCTAGACAGATCGTTCCTCGAACTGTATCAAGCTTGGAGTGTTTCAGTCAGGTCTTCCCGGTTCCAAAATTTCACAACCATCAGGCGTGGTGACTTGATGGACATAAGGTGTGACGGGCGGGCTAACCTAGAGATGCAAACAGCCATCGTGGTGTGAAGGGTTAGGCTACACGATAGCCATCGCCACTGTTGCAGATCGTGCTCGTGAGCTTTGTCCGAGTTACCGCCAGTGAGTTCAGGTACACCGTGAACTATCATGGTGGTCTGTTCTTGGGTGCCAGGCGCAGTTTTGGTTGCCGCACGTACCTACCACGGCTTGCAATGCCTGATGCGGCGGGGACAATTTGACCGATGGTCTTTGGGATGAAAGGATGATTTCTTCAGCAAGTCGTGCCGAGTCAAGAGTTACCTTCATTGGAGGGTATTTTCCTTTCGAGATATTTTGGCCTTTGAAAAAGAGGCATATTTTGGCTAGGACGTTGCACATTCCGAGAGTTGTGCAGTGTTTATCCCACTGCTCTTTGTCGAAGGCAGCCCTACCTTCTAGCAAGCTTTCTTCAGATACTGGGGCATTAAATAAAATATGTGAGTTTGATCTGTTGTTCCTGTTCTCGGGTGGTAGCCGCTTGTGAGTTGAGGTGTTGCTATATCCCTTCTTCATGTTCACCCACTGTTTTGTATTGCTACCAGATAATGGGGGGTTAATAACAACTGGCAGTTTTGTCAGTGTGTTAGGCAGGGTTGTGGTAGCCTTAGTCACTTGTTTTACTGGTTTAGTGCCAGGCGATTTTGGGTGGGCAGCTGGAAGTTTAAGCAGTAGCTTTGTTCTCTTTCTTGCCAACGTAACTTAACAATCTCTGGAATCTCATCTCAATCTTATATCATCTATTTACGGATATAGTGTTAATTTTTGGAATCTAATACGATCTAACGGCAGTTTACCGAAGGACAATCACTCAAAAACAAATCCTATGTTTACACTTTAAAAAAGAGAATGTTATGCTCGTCTCTAGGAATGCTTAAAACTATTATGGATTCACCTTAGTCGAATAACGAGAACAAAACAATGAACCAGCATCCAGGTAGGCTACTGTGATTCCTTGACCCAATTTTACCAGCAAGAAATCTTGATATAGCGTAGAAAGTGTATTCTACAAACACCCAGGCAGCACACAATGAAACCAAGCACTCTAATTGCGTTTATTAATACTCCATAGAAACGTCCTTGGGACAGCCACCAAAATAGCACACTGAAATGACACAGTAACCAATCACAGCCAAGGAAATATGATCTCAAGGTCAACTGATCGGCCCATGAAATAAATCCAAAATAAAGATATTTATAAGGCGAGTTCTAAGTATCTTACATCCCCAAAAGAGAAAACACGATCAGAATGATTTTCGGTTTTTGTAAGAATTTCAGATGTCACTAAACCAATCTCTAGGACTTTAAATACAGAATACCCGCCTTAAAAAACTCAAATAGGAGATACAT